AAGGCCTACTAGTCACGGTATTCGTTCTTGTCGAGAGATGATATTGAATCTGGAAGCTACTACATTCGTACATTCCACGTGCAAGTTGATACCCATAACATATCTTTAATATGATTCGTACGTAGTAATTCATACCGGCAAGTTTAAAGTGCCATACATACGTACCGTACGTACTATAGATGATTTGAGAGTTTTTCATCCGTTGGATGAGATGAATAGCAGTAGACCCTCCTATGTATCGATAAGACCTCATCTTTCAGCTATTCTTCAATTTGGCGACTCGATTCGGCGATCACTTTGTACCCAAGATTTTCGCAGTAAGAGCATTCCARTGAGCAGTAACTTCCGTTGTGGATGGAAACTATGCTGCATGTAATAGAAAGTACACACTCCTCGATACCGTTGAGTAGTTGAAACCGCCGAGAGAGTCAGTCTTACTGCTAACACAAAATTGCCATTTTCTTCGTGCCGAGCCGAGCTGCGCTCAAGATTTCTCTCCAACGGATCTTGTGCGCACCAATCTCATAAGATATTGTCTCACTTGATACATATGTTCGGGGRTTTTCRAGAAGCATGGTCTTYAGAAAATTCTCTGTATCGTGARAGACTAATGCTTTTCTTCTCAGTTCTCATTATCRTCGCGTCATTCTCTGCGTGATGACTGCATTCGATACTGCAACAAAACCAAACCAAGAACGGGATACCTGAGAAAAAACATCGCCAAGATGAACTCCCCTTACGCTCTATCAAAGACGACGCAAGTGCTTACCCCRGACGAGCCGAAAGGAAGAGTCGATAATTCTCGGGAACCGAGAAGAAAAGAACCAGAGGGCGATAAGCAGGAYCCTTTAACGGAAGATTCCAATTCGGTTACCGAAGAACCAGATGCTGACAAAAATGAGTACGAACATTGGGGAGGCGGCGAAACAGCAGAAGGTAACGGCTGTCGCGCAGCATGTAGCGATGGCACGGAGACAGTAGCGGCGTTCGGTGACGCCGTCAGTGAAGTCTTTGATTTGATCA